TTTTTTGTTCCAAAAAATTAACAAATATATCAAAACTTTTTTAAAACTAATCTTTATTTCAAATAAACAATTCTCTTTAAAATTTCTTCAATTGCTTTTTTTAAATTGTTCAAAGACTCTAATTTGTTACAAAAATAAAAAAAAGTTGAAAAACTGTATAAATTAAGTTTATAATTGTTTTAAAACAACCCTATGACTAACTATATCAGCTGTGTATCAAATTCTGCAACGCTTGCAATTTGCAAAATTTTCTCTTTAAATTAACTTTCTCTTGGCGCTTGCTCTTATTCATTTAGATAATATATAAATAACACAGTAATAACCAATAACTGCTCTCTGAAATTTACTATTTAGTGAAATTTTTGCAACTCACCATCGAACCCAAACCGAGATGGTAAGGCTGCGAATGCGGTACCACACCGCCGCCCAGTGAACCGGCTGTCGAGAAGCCGCTCTGCAAGCCACCAGAAGCACCCAAAGCGCCCATACCGCCTGTATACCAGCCGCCGTGCATATGCGCATGTGCGGGATGTAAACCACTGGAAAGATGGCCATGTTGCGCTGGAAAGCAAAAGAGCAAAATAATACAAATTAAGTACATATTGACAAATAAACGGCGATTATAGTGCGAAAATTAAAATATGTGTATACATATATGTGTCTATCTATGTATGTAAGTATGTCTATGGCATAAATGTATTTATTGTGTAATTTAGTTTAATTTAATAATATATAATTTATTATTTATTTATGGTTTGCTTCTCTAAAAAATGAAAATTAAATTAAATTAAATTAATTGATATGATTAAATTAATTTAATTTGATTTGATTTGAATTAATTCAATTTAATTTAACTTGATTTAATTTAATTTCTTTAATTTGTTTTAATTTAATTTAAATTTCATTTTATTAATTTAAATTTTGTAATTTTTATCTTTACATTTTCTTACTATTTTAATTAATACTGAGTTTTTTTTATCTCGTAGTTTTTAAGTAAAATAATGCTTTACTTACCCATAGAAGCTGGGAAACCGCCACCGAAACCTTTCGACGGATCGAGTGGTTTGAAATCTCCCATGCCCAAGTGACTGCCAATGGGTAGACAGGGACCACCTAAACCCTTCTTCTTTTTCGATTTCGACGACAATTTGCGATTACGCGTTTGAATGCCTTCCTTTTTCATCGTAAGTGGGCGATTCACCTAGAACGAAAAGTGAAAAAAGTTAATTACTAAAATTACAAACCGAAAATAACGTCATAAACAGCAATAAAATATTAAAAGAAAAGAAATTTTAAAAGCAATTTAAAAAAATTAAAAATTTTTTTCAAAAAAAAAAAAATTTAATAAAAAAAAATAATAAAAAGATTTAAAAGGTAAATAAAAAAAAATTAAGAAGAAATAAAATAAAAATTATAAAATTATTTTAAAGCATTTTTAGTGTTAATATTAAAATCATAATACATTATCGTGTTTAATTTAAAATTATTTTAATTAGTGCTTAATAATATAAGTTTATTTGACCTTCAAAATTTAATGCTGAGAGATATACACCCTCGGTTCATAGTAGGAAAGGTCATTAATGTATACAGATGTATGCAAAATATACATTTATCAGCAGTTTCTGGCCGCAACTGTTCAATTCCACCTAGATTAACACATACATACATATGTATGTACATATACTTATGTCTAAACGCATTTATTTGCATTTGCAGCAACCGCGAGCACTTCCGCTCTTGTCATTCTAACTTGCAATTGCACAGTACCCGAAGCTGCATTGCGTTCTTTGCATATACATATACACAAACATATGTATATATCTACATATATGTATATACATACAAGTATATCTACATAAGTACCTATGACACTCTCTCTAGCTACCCACTGTCGCTGTCGTCGCTGCTGCTGAATTCTAGTAAACCATGCAATTCGCACTGTGTGTAACCGGGGAAAAAATGAAACATTACAATATTTTTACATGATCAGATAAGCGACGCAGTGTGCGATTATTTTGACTGATATCGCTTTCAGACGCTCTACGCGGCTGCAGCGCAACCATAAGTACTACGCCCTTAACGGCAAATAACTGGTAGGTATACCTCAATGTAGTGAGCGTTACGCATCTACCTACAACAATACATATACACACACTCATACAAGCGAACGACTGCTTTTCAGCCAACCAACCAACCAGCCGGTCGCGCTGTGCGCTCGCCTCGCCTCTGCTGCCTGCTAACGCACCAACCAACGAACTGTTGCAGTAACCACCTTTGCCGCCACCTTTTGCTACTATTTTATTTAATTCTTCTTTTCTTTTTATATTATTCCATTTTTTGCTGCTGCTTCCTCTTCTATAACGCTGCGCTTCTTGTGTGTCGCTGCAGGACGATTGTGCCAATGTATAAGCATGTGTGTGTTTGATGCGTTTGCGTTTGCATTTGTGTCTAAGTGTCTGCATATGTTACGCTATAGGCTTATCATTAGCGAAAAATCAGCGCTGATGTTAGAAATGTGCTTCATTGCGCTACAATTACAGTATTAAGTTACTCTTTATCAGCGGCAGCCATTGCGGCAGGGCAGGAGCGTTGGCAGGCTGTAGGGCGCACAAAAAAGTACTCGCTTTAGCATTGAGCGCCTTAGTGAGACGGCTTACTAGCCGTCCACCAACCATGCAGTTAAATGTGTAATGGAAAAAATCAGCGTATCTTTCAAGTACTAGGGCGTGAATTACGTAGTTAAGTGGGTTTCAAGCTGCTCAAATTTATATATTGTTGCACAGTGTGTTGTTTTCGGTTAAATTTGAAATTCTTATTTTGAAAAATTATTTTATTGTAATTTTATTAATTTTTTATATTATAAATTCCGATATTATAACATGTGATAAAAGAAAGATTTGATAAAC